TATATATTACCTAAATTGAGTCAAGAAGTCTTTAATATACGACAGTGTCTACTATCCCTCAGTACCACTGTGAAAGCGAAGAAGCGAAGCCTGTAATAAATGACCTAAATTGTGTCTATAAGACCTTAAACACGACAGTGTCTAGGCCTGCTGTCCGTCAGGTACCCTTGTGAAAGCCGAGGAGCGGAATCTGTTATAAATTACCTAAACTGTTTCAATAAGTCCTTGAACATGTCTACTATCCCTCAGGTACCCCCGTAGAGGTGGAGGCTGTCATAATAATATTACCTAAATTGAGTTAAGAAGACTTTAAAACATGACAGTGTCTACTATCCCCCAGGTACCCCGGTGGAAGCCGAGGAGCGTCGACTGATCAAAGAGGTGCACGAAGAGACCATGACAGTGTCCAGCAAGAAGATTCTGTTCGCCAACATGGAGAAGGCGGAGACTCTGTACGAGATGCTGCAGTCGCAGACAGTGCACGAGGTCAGAGGTCACGAGATTATTGTTTGTCTTTGTGTTTTAGGAAGTGTTTGAAATACAGTTAAGTTCGTGTAAGTGCCGAAGAATAGGGGTTTGACTATCAAACACAAAAAGGAAGGAGGGGAGATCAGGCCAAGTTTAAAGATGTTTGATAGGAAAGGAGCAAACACCAGAGGGTGCTCTCGTGACCTTGAGGTTAAGGTGTTGGCCTCTCATTCAAAGGTCCCGGGTTCGAATTCGGGTAATGACCGAACAATTTTCTTCTAAAAAAATGTATCCTTTCACCTCCTTTCCTGTTTTCTAACAATGTTCTGTAGTCTGCTTTCGTCTCCCTTTTCTGCCCCACACCCACTCACCTCCTTTGCCCCCTCCTCTGGGCTCCTGACTTTTTCTGCAGTAATCTGCAGCCTTTCTGCTGCTACTCCTTGGCTCCTTCTTACTGCTGTCTTTAAGCCACACCCCTGATCTTCTGGTAGGAAAGATCTACACCTAGTCTTCTCGGACAAGGGCGAAAAATCTCGGAGGGCCGTATTCAAGTTGCGCACGATAAAGATCCCTTGGTGGT